TTTTTTTTTTGGTGTCCTTTCTTAACTACATACATTGTTCACGTGATCCGTCACTGCTGAGGTTGGTAGAGTAGACTTGTGAATAAGGCACAATTGGATTGTTGTGTCGACCCGCTACTAGTACCTTCGCCTGTGCGATGCACGAGTCGAATGATATGCAACATAAAAAAAATAATCTCGCATGCCTTATATATTTTTGTTGAATAAATTTTGTGTAATTACAAAATTATTTTAACCTCTGCTTTTCAACTTGATTAATGTAATTGATAATACAGGATATACACTATTTCTCGGTTCGGCATGGCCTAGTTTGTTGCTAGTTAATATTTTGATTAAATATTCAACCATGACAGATTCAAATTGTGAGGACAACTGAGCTCCTAATTTAACAATCCAGTTACACATTTACAGGCGAATTACGTAAAATGAATGAGAAAAAAAAAATAAAAATAAAAGAGTTCAAATGAGAATGGGAACATTATGCGGCTGCAGGGCAGCCGCCCTTTCGAGGATCACTGACCGCAGTCAGCATGCCCCGGAAAACATTACCACCGTTCCCCAATTTTCTCCTCCCCAAATCCACCGATTTCGTAAGATTCTGAACCACCAGCTGGCAAATAGCACCCCCTGCTTTGGCCTGCAGCCAATGGCCCCTTTCCCTCAAGAATCGCTTCCTCTCTTCCGAAAGCTCAATGTGTTCGCCATCTATCACTGTCCAGTTCTCATACGAGACAATGTTCGGGAATAACTACACAAAAACACATATTGCCAAAGAAAAAAATATGGAAAATTAATACAAGAATTTGAGTGAGTTTTTTGGACAATTTAATGAATATATATGACTATGTTTGGTAGCCAAATAAGTTAGCTTATAGCTTATTTGGTTAGTTTATAAGCTTCCTGCATTCAAATAAGCCTCGTTTGGTAGGCGGGTTTTTTTTTTAAAAAGCTCGACCTTATCTCACAAGTTTCTTTAGGTAGCTTTTCAAATAAGCTCGTTGAAATATTTATTTTAGCTAGCTTATCAACTAATTCTAACACACACTTTTATCATATAAGCTAGCTTTTCAGCTATAAGTCATAAGCTCGAAAATTACATATAAGCTATAAGCTAGCTTATCAGCTATCAGATAGTTTATCAACTAGTTTTACCAAACATAATAGGTACCTTGTGATATACTCTTGGACTCTGAACAGCTTTTAGAGGTTCCATTCCCAGAATGAAATGATTGATGAAAACCTGAGCCACTGCAGGAATAATGTCCAAACCACCACTGCCTCCAATCACCCCAGCTAACTGATTGTCCTAACAAGGGGAGGGACAGAGAAGGAAATAATCGAAAATTCATTAAAGAAGCCAGATTTTGTTAAACTAGAAAAGGCAATAAATCTATGCTTACACCTTGAGGACTATGAGGGGACTCATGGATGATAACGGCCTCTTGTTTGGCCTTATGAAGTTACTCGGAGCAGGCGGGAGCTTTCCAGGTCCCACATCGGTTGGTATCGAGAAATCGCCCATCTCGTTGTTGAGCACGATTCCAGTCGAAGGAGACAGCACGCCGCCCCCAAAAGCGTAGTTCACCGTTGTAGTCATCGACACTGCATTTCTTTCCGAGTCCACTACACAAAAATGGCTCGTCCCGTGGTCCCTTAGCTGGATCCATCTAAGAACAGCTTTTTATTTTTTTTATTATAATCATTATTATGATCATTTTTTTTTTTAATGGAGAAACAAATGAATAATACACGAACCTGGGGAGGTAATACTCGGGAGGGAAAGTGGTGTTATCGAGTATCTTTTCTCGAATGCTCCTTGCGAAGGAAGGGGAGAGCATGTTTGACACAGTTTTAGTGACGTTGACGAAGTCAGGGTCACCGAGATCCATTCGCAAGGCGAACATGTGCTTGAGGGCTTCAATCAGGCGGTGCAGGCCTAGTGGTCCTTTGACTGCGTCCTGATTACCATAACTCTGCAGCACGTTCAGAACCTGTGCCCCTCAAGTCAACAAATGGAAACACACAGGTTTGTAAAGTGTTTGATTGCAAAAAAAGACAGCCCTCAGTTTCAACAACATTTCTATTTAAAGTAGTCTCAAAAAGACATTCTTGTTACCTTATATAACTGCCAATCGACTACAACAGTCAATGAACAAAATAATCAGTAAATCAAAGCACATTTCTGAACTTTTTTTCTTACAAATGATTTTGTGTTTTCTCAAACTATCTTGAAATTATCCTTAGACCTATCCTTTTTTGGGAGGGAAATTTGAAAAACAAAGTCTACTAACCTTACACTATTTGAATTTTTCTCTTTTATTCGAAATTATTGCTTGGAGTGACCAAAAGTTGACCTTTTTTTACTCACGACAAGTCAAGACCAGGGCTACACCCAAAGTGGGAGGCTCGCAATTCATACAAAGGACTATGGCTTTAACTTACAAGTTTCTTGTATTTAAATAAGTTTCGTTTAGTAGGACGAAATATTTTAAAAATCCCGAGCTTATCTTATAAGCTTGTTTGGGTAGCTTCTCAAACAAGCTCATTGAAATTTTTATTTCAGCTAAACATCACCTATTTTACCAAACACTTTTACCATATAAGCTAACCTTTTAGTTATAAGTCATTATTTGGGTAGCTTCTCAAACAAGCTCATTTAAATTTTTATTTCAGCTAAGCATCACCTATTTTACCAAACACTTTTACCATATAAGCTAACTTTTTAGTTATAAGTCATTAGCTATAAGCAATAAGCTCGAAATCACTTATTAGCTAGCTTATCGGCCAAACATATCCAATATAATTTAAAGAAACTCACAAGCGAGAGCCCGACTGTCCCACTAGAAGGTGGCGGCATTCCTAGTATCGTGTGCCCCATCACATTCACCTCAACCGCATCCGCCACTTTCACTCTATAGCTTCTCAAATCTTCCATGCTCAAAATCCCACCAGCATTCCTCACATCAGCAACCAGCTTCTGACCGAGAGGCCCGTCGTAAAAGGTTTTGGGCCCTTGTTCAGCCACAGCCTGTAAGCTGTTCGCGAGCTCCACATTGTAGCAGATTTCACCAGTCTTCAAAAGTTTCCCTTTCGGTGCGTAGACCTGCCTCAATCCTGGATCACTCATGATCTTTTTCTCCACTCCGGCCATGCGGGCCCCAAGGTATGGGCCCACCACAAACCCATTTCTGGCAAGATGGATTGCGGGCTGGAAAAGGGCCCCCCAGGGAAGACGCCCGTATCTCAACCAGGCAGCGTGTAGCCCGGCCAGCTCACCCGGGACACCCATCGACAGGGCGCCTTCATATTTAGCTCCCGAATTTTTTTCGTACATATTCTACACAAGCAAAATATTTATAAATTAAAAAAAAAAAAAAATTCATGAGTATTCAATTAGTCGGTATTCTTGTTATGGAAGAAGTAATTTGTTAGACACTAGGCCTGTAAACGAGCCAAGCCGCTCGAGCTCGAGCCCTTACCGACTAGGCTAGTTAAACAAACGAGTCAAAAATTGAGCTCGAGACGAGCTTCAACGAGTCAAACTATAGAAAATCATATGAAAATTCTTATTTCGAGCCAAGTTGTTAATCAAACGATCTTTAAATGAGCTCGATCCGAGCCGAGCCAGACTCAGTTTAATTTAACAACACTACTTGACATGTATAGACACATTTGGGACATGGTATTTAATCCAATTTTGTTTAAGATTTTTTAGCAATCCTCAATGAACAAGTAGAAAACCCAAATAGAAAGTGGGAATTTAGGGGAAAAGGCAAGTAAGAACCTGTGAAGCAGCTGCAGGGGCAGTTTCCCTCATGTCGATTGCAGATGACGATGACGACGATGATGATGATGATGATCGGACGAGCATAAAAGCACCGCCACCAATTCCGCTTGACGTAGGGCTGACGACACCAAGGCACAGTGCAGTGGCAACGGCGGCATCAACGGCGTGCCCTCCTTTCTCGACCATCCCAACACCAATCTCTGAACAACGTTTGTCATCCGCCGCCACCACTGCTTCATTCGACTCAACAACGTCAATATCATCATCATCATTCCTAATTGAGAATCTTCTTCTATTCACGATGTTCGACTCGCCAGGCCCTGCTTCACCGCTCTCAAATAAATAAATAGAAAAAAAAAATGGAGAATTAAGGGGTTACGTAGCGTGCACCATTGGCTATTGATTAATGTTAAGGGAGATGCTACGATCCCGAACCATTCCGTCGGAATTTGTAACCGCTAGATCAACTATCTCGACGCAATAGTTTAATAAGGGGACCGTAGCATTTCCCTAATGTTAAACTTTCATTCCCAAAATAACTGATTTGACTTTTGTCTCTTGAATCTTTAATAAATCTCCTATTTTTCTGCACACAAAAATAATTTATTAGACACAATTTTTATCAAAGTTATCAAAATCCTCGAATTAATTTAACAACTTCTTACTCACTCTCGAAATCTGTTACTACTTTTTTTTCTCTTTTCTAGGTCAATAAACTGAAAAAAAAAAGAAAAAAAAAATGGTGGAGAAAACCAAGAATAATTAGAGAGTAAAAACTCACAGGCAAGGACGAAAAGTAGAAGAAAAAGGAAGAACAACAACAACTTCTTCTTCTTCTTCATCGTTTTCTTTGTTTTCGAATTATTATTCGCCAGAAACAACAACGGAGCCTCTTCAAATCCCTCTTGCTGCTGCCCCATACTGACAACCTTCGATTTATTACAAAAATAAATAATATAAAACCTTAGTTTAGTTGTCAGTCTCTCTCCATCTCTCTGAACTCCGGGAGAGAGATGGAGGAAAGAGACTGTGTTGTGTGTGTGAGAGAGAGAGATACAGTTGAGTTTGTTTTGTTGAGCAAGGAATTTTCCTTGTGTGTGTTTGTTTCCAATGTGTTGTGTACGTGTATATTTCTCATTGGTCCATTTGAGATGAGAGAAATACATATGAATATTCATAGCAGCCTTTTGTGGCGTGCATTGGACATTGAATAAATAAATTAATAACAAAAGGTACGGTTGAGTGTGTGGTTGGCTGCAAGAACCAACCCTTCATTCCATCTATATACATATCTTAGAGGTGATTGTATTTGATAAAATTCGATAAATTAGTCGATCGGGCCAGATAAACCGGTTGGTCGAACATGAACACAGGCAGGCCGAATGGAGGTTGAACGTGGCTACAAAACATTGAGTCCTCAGGTTAGGAATGACGTTGCGGGTTCAAAGGGAAATCGATAGGTCGAGTTAGGGCCTGTTGGCGGCTTGGTTGAAACTCGACCTGAAGACGTAACTGGTCGATGGATCGACCAGGAGGACAACACGTGAGCTCAAACCTACGCAACATTCTACCTCGAGGTGATTTGGTTCAGTCGCATAATTAGACCGTTTAATAAGGCATACTAATATATAAGAAGAAATATTATCAGGATAAGGACCACAAATGGGTAGAACTACGTGATCTAATAGAATTGGGCAGTTCGGGCAGTTCAGACAGATCGAACATCTTATCCAAGTAGTCTTGGACAACAAAGTAGCACCTCCCTATATACAGAAGTGAGGTATGCCCACGAGAACATTACACTCTCTATACTCACGAAGCTCTAATACATTGTTACTGTCATCGTCTTCATCATCTCGTCCTGACATAAGCATCGGGAACTCTATGCTGGAAATCCATTCGGCGTTGAGTTATTGAAGGTCATATGCCGGCGAGGAAGGTAGATCAGCTTCAATCCAGTCGGTCGAACATCTTTACGTTCTCTTTGGCCCCTTCTCTAGGAACTTTGTTATAAAAGCCATCAAGATACACCATCCAACGTGAACGAAGATCCCAAGAAGAACCTTGAGCCTACGTTTGACGAGGCATGGGTCAATTCACGTCCGTGGGGTGCAGGACCCCCACCACATTTTTCCACATGTTCTCAGGTTGACCTGATTCCTCCAGTTTAGTTAGACCGCTTCTTAGGTTGAATTGACCTAGTATGATATTTCAGAGCTTGAGCTATAATTAAAATCATATCAAGAGAATAAATTTTCTATTCTCTCTTTTCGCTCTAATTAAAGTTACTATATGAATATGAATAGATAAACAAAGGTTTAATATTATCTAAAACAATTTTTCTACAAAGACATCAAATGACTCGGCTTATGTAGTTATTCACACTTATTCACCAATAATGTATTGACACGTGTCTTATAATAAATACAATTTAGACAGGTGTCAATATATTAAGTGATAGATGACACCATAAGAAAACCATCCAATGGCTCCACAAATTTTGTTATTTAAAAATAAGGTAATATGTCGGGATCAATAAAATGACTTTGTAAACTTTGTTATAGTTCCTAAAAATTTATGATCATAATAGTGTGATTGGAATTATGCCACACTAAAGAAATTGAATATAAAGTTTTAGGGCGGAATTGTTGAAATCCTCTAACGAATTGGTAGCTCTTATGTTCAGTGAATTAATCATTAAGTCTGGCATATTTTTATTGTTTTCATATAAATATACATGCTATTATTAGAATATTTAATACATTCAAAATATATAAAAATATATGAAATATAATATAAGTACACATTTGTGAGATATGACAAACAAATAAAAGGCCAATTGTTGTCATCATTAATGGAAGACAGCGATGATTTCCACATGGAATAATGTGTGGGAAATGAATTAAAGGGGCACCATAAAAAGTCGAACGCTTCATAAAAATGGGGTTCCTTTATATGACTGCAAACAAAATTTCTCTCAAATAAAAATCTGAAAAAAAAAGAAAAAAAAAAAGAGCAGATTGATTTAGGATTTAGTAAACTTTTTCAGCTTCACCAATAGTAAATCGACACGTATGCAAAAGGCAAATCTAAAATCTATAGAGAAAAGTGAATGGACAAAAAAAGCAAAGAAGAGGATGAAAGCAGAAGAAAACTTGGAGCAATGACAATTTCTACCTTGTGGCCTGCACATATACCACTTCAGGAGGAAATCCATGAAAAAACAAAATGCAAAAAACTAAAATTTTGCATATTTGGCCGATTAGTGCTCATCAAGACTGCCAGAAAACGGTAGTGTCGGTGCTGTATAACGTCTTGTCCTGAATCTCAAGGTTAGCAACATGATAATCGATTAGCCGAGCCTGGAGAACTTTACACACAATAAGTCCACAAGGCAGCATCCACCAACCACTTTCATCCCTGCATGCAAATGCTCACCTCAGTATAAATGTATTTTATTTATGCATCTAACTGAAAATGAAAGAGAATACTAGTGTTCCATTTTAGAGTACTGTACATTTCAAACATGAAAACAGATTCTTACATGCTAAAATTCCAGGAGTGAAAGTTTGGAAGCCTTTTATTCGATGAGGATTGAGTCTTGAAATGAACTAGTCCGCATATGAACGCAACCGTCTGTTCAATATAAGCAAAACATATAAATGAGTTTTCTACATGTAAATCGTAAATGCTGCCTTTGACATTATAATAACTATTATTCAAGAATTTAATTTAGTTATCTATTTTTATATTCAACGCTATTTAAGTTATTATTTCAGAGTCTAAGAGCAATCTATATACCAAGCACATAATATTCCTTCGTCACAACTGAAAGCAAAAGCAATTAAAATAGATATTTCTGTACATAACAAGAATTCATACTTACAACATTCATCACAGAGGTAATATTCCACAAAGCATATATGCGTGCAAGACCAGCTGATCGCCTGGGCCCGTGACTAAATAAGGCATTTATACCGACAGGAAATGGAAGAAGAATCCCAAGAGGAGGAATAAGCAAAAACATGAAGACATCAAGCATTGATATGGAATATAGCTGAAGCAGAAGCAGCAACACTAAGCTACAATCTCCTAAAAGTAGAACCGAGATAATTAAACCAACAAGATCCTGCAATATTAAAAAAAAAAAAAAATGAGTCAAGATCATCTATTGAGTTTGAGCCACATTGTATATGAACATAAATACACCCACATGCATAGATCCAAAGCAGTCAACAAAAATCAAATTTACCTGATGGCAAACTGGCTTGATGTTCCGTGTTATGTAGTAGAAAGGAAAATATAATGTGAACCCCTCTTCAAGCTTCTGTAGGCTCTTGGAATTTATAACTTCTCCACATGTCTTTTTCTGTGTCATTGCATGTTCACCAACTCTAACAAGATCCAATGCTTTCTTCCAGCGGTTTGCAGGCGAACTGTTTGGTAAACCCAGAAAACATGCCATAGAAACAGACAGTGAAGACAAATTAAATTGACTCACCGAGTCATAATAACACCTGACGTTCTATGGAACAGACGAGATTTTCTTACCGTGACTGCTTCTCATGCAAGAAACGCCTCTCTGACCCTTGACCGGGTGAATGACTACTTTCGTCCTCTAACGAACACAGAACAAGTCCAAATTGGCAATACCCGCTCGCTGAAGGTTGAAAGCGCGTCAACTCAACACGTACACCATGAGTGCGTAATGTTCTATTGGCATGCGTCTCAAGCCAGAGGACAACTGGACGGAAAGTTGACCTCAAATGCCCTCGACGAACTAAACGAAGCTGAGCATTAAGACCAGCCACCAGCCTGTACCAAATTGTTGGGGGCACTGACTGCCATGAAGAGGCAAAAGATTCACATTAAAACCCCATGAAACACATGTCACATTATATTTTATGTTATAATTTATGTCAAGTCAAATCAAATCACGACAAGTCGAGAGGTGAGACCTGACCTGGCTCATGAGGTTTGTTAGAATGTTATCACTTTGGAGGGAAAAAGGAACCATGTAAGATCCATCTCCCCCGAACAGTATAGACATTGGAAATCGTTGATGAAGGCGGGGAGGAAGGTCACTTCTCTTTTCATCTCCACCGAGGAAAAAGTCAACATACCCCAGCATGAAATCAGAAGTTGAAGCAACCTGCAGCAAGGGCAGGCTCAGGGTCGATAAAGAATTCAATCTCATTGATATAATAATAAGATTGGGTTAATATTAGTGCACGACAGGATTCATCCACATGCAATGCAAGTCAGAGATGAGCTACGTAGTCATAAACGAGCTGATCAATAATGACTTATAGCAAGCGACAATCCATGGATTTAACATTGTATTAAAGAGGATTCAAAATAGTCACAATCCTGATATGAAGAAGATTTCAAGCAACACAAGATTGGTGGGTAATCAAGATGATTGCATACCTTGAGGTCTCAAGCTCATATTTTATTATGCCAAAAAATACACACTTCTACTTGATAGGTTTTGGGTTCAGTACAAGGATGATAATGGAAAATTGACTTTGAACTTTCATACTAACTGCTCGTTTATATTGAGCCCTATGATTTCATACAATCAAAGCTTTTGCCTAGTTATACATCCAAAGTTTCAAAATGCAACTCATAAAAGAAGTTACAGAATACCTTCAGCCCTTCATAAAGAGCTCTTGAACGGCAAGAACGCAAGCAGGCATGATCATATTCCGAACGAACATATTCGCGTAGGTGTTTTACTTTTTCCTTACGCCGCCACTGCAACCATGACCAGGCAAGTGGATACACAATAACACAGAGGATACCATATATAGATCCTTCCCACCATTCATAAGATGCTAATGCATTTATCTCGTCAACAAATATGTTGAAAGCATCCTCATATCTATCAACAAAACAAGGCAACAAGAAATTAATGTGTCTGATAGATATTCAAATATCTTTTCAGAATCAAATCTAATTTCATATGAGCACTTAATATAGTGTTTCTTAATAAAGGTAGAGAGACCATACACTATTTCTTTCACTTCTTTAGGAGGTGAGTGGAGGAGATGCCAAGGTTCACTGAAAGTATTAGCCCCAAGAAAGTACAGGCGGTGAACGTGAGTTTGAGATTCCTCGTTTCTACTAGTTTCCAACACCTATTCGCAAAACAAAAGGTAAGAAAATACTGTCTAGTTTAGAGTATAAGGTAGAAATAATTTCGATCTTCAAAAACTGATAAAATGTAGTCTAAATGAGAACCTCATTTAGTGACTCTAGAAAAGGGAATGAGCGATCAATTGTAGAGCAGCGCCTGCTTGGCACAAGACCTGGCAATTCATCTCCACCAGCAAACTTCATCCTAGCAACACTGAGAACGACTGCTAAGATGATGAGGAGACTAAAGAGTATGAAACCAAACAACCAAGGCCCTCCAAAAGTGTATATTAGTTCTTCAAGGGCTGTATAACAGTGAGGCATACGGTATCTCTCAGATATACACTTGTATGGACATGGTGTTTCCATGACACCTCCTATAAAATAAAATATCATTAAGAGTAAGTCCTAAGTACATAATTTTTTCATATATGATTTAGAAAGTATTCCAATGACAATCATACGTTATAATAATTAAAACCACCTACGATAGTTCGTATTAACCAAACAGAATGTAATCTCTAGAATAGTAACAAACTGACACAGAATTTATAAGTACCTCGGACTGCAATATACATTGCACGATGAGGAAGCTCTTGAGGTGGACAATCACGACAAAGGTCTCCATTAGATCCCGTCACATTTTTATATGTCCCAAGTGGGCATTCCTGCATTCGGATGAATTTCAGATTATGTAAGCCGCCCTTCAAAGCACTAACAGAGTAACAGGTCATGAATAGAGAAGCATGCAATATTTAATGCAGTAATTGATGTAATATATTTAATGCAATGATTCTGAACAGATAAAATCAATTAAATTATAACTCATTAAGCCTGGCAAGCTGTTTATTAGATTTACAAATTCAGGGGAAAAGGTGCGATCCCATAGGGGTGAAGCGCACCTTACGAGGGCAGACCTAAGTTACAACTTAGTGAGGTTCCATCCCAAAACTAATTGTTCATAGGATCATAGGAGTAGCCCATTGCCACTAGGCCTAGACTTATAAACTACTTTTATTCCCCCATTTAATCAATGTGTGACACCTCACAAGTGACATATTTCGAAACTGTTGATCAAGGGATTGACATTCCAGATCATGTGAAATTGTTGTATAACAGCACAAGTAACTAATCACCAAGAAAATTGAATCTGAATTTTTTTTTTTTTTTTTCTTTTTCATCATCTTTTTCTTGTTCTTTTCTAATGAATGGAGGCCAACCAGTACCGGAAGAAGTAACGATAAGAGAGTAATTGGACAAGCATTGCTAGCAAAGAAGAGAATTCACTCAGTTATCAAAAGTTATGCGGATGATACTTTCCGAAATGTTGCTGCTGCATAGGATGGCATTAAAGGGTTTCAAGCTTGATTGTAGTTGGAAGAATAAAAACCACCATCAATGGGGTCTTTTCGAAACTAGATATGCAAATTATTGATGAAATATAAACCTCATGTGTAAGTTTCTATTAACCTACGTATTAAAATGGACTTCTTCAAACATTAGCAAAAAATGTGAACAGTGTTTTAAATATTCAAGTGCAATTATGGTATGTACCAATGATATTGAATATAGCAGAATGCCGAGTAAAAACTCCTCAAAGCGAATACCACATCATTGAAATACATATGATACACATGCAGAAATCAAAATAGTCAAGTGCACAGCTGTTCCTAAACCAGAAATAAATAACGTCTACAAGTAACACGACATGAGCACTTAAAAAGTTTGTTAAATATCCAAAGTGTACGCCCCAACACAAAGGGAGGAAATAAAAGAATGCTTTAAGGAAAAATCATAGGCACCAATTACCCGACAAAATATCCCATAGAGCCCCTTTGGACAGGTTTTTCCACTCAGAGTCCCATTTTCAGCATCTCGTCCTAGACCCCTACCACTCCCACCTCTGCAGTTGCATCATCAAAACCCAAATATAAGCATTTATAAGCACACGAATCTTTACTGCAAATAGCAATTCATTCAGAACATGTCTATCAAAGTAGTTTTATTATTTATCCATTTCTTTTTGTCATCAGTGGCCAAATCCATAAAACAAAGCAACAAAAAAGAAGAAAAGGAAGGAAAATAAGCGAAAAAATAAAAGGAGAGAAAATAAAGTAATAATATACAACTTACAGCAGAAACCTAAAAATGGTCCAAACGATTTACCCGAGAAACTGAACGAGTCATTCTATAGCAAAGTTTATTACAGATTATTAGCCAATATCACCAGCAAGGCCACTAAGATACAAGAAAAGTTTTAGTACCCTCAATCCAAAGGCAGATGGTTACAATTACTTAATGTGTATAGAACTTTATTCTTAACATGTCAATACGTTGCAACGTATTCTTGATTACAACTTGCAAAATGACCCTCTGAGCTAAAAGGGTACTTGGATACTTTTGACCAATCACTCTTTTTTAACTCAAATTTAACTCAACCCAACTCTCCTCAATATATTATCAAAATAATTAAATAATACTACTCAATCATCCTAACACATCACATCAATTTTAATTCACTATTCATCCACTCACATAATTTAACTACCCGAACCCTACTTTTATATCAAAGCAACTTTAATCATTTCATTTTAAATATTATTTTAATACAAACTCAAAATCCCACTCAAACAACCCAACCAACATTTTCAAAATTAACTCTAGTTAACCAACAAATCCAATCAAACCCAATATAACTTATATCCAACCACACCCTAAAAGTCCAAAACATAAAAAGAAATTCAAAGTTTTGCCCGATAAACTGCTCTTATATTATCAAATGCTTAGTGGCTTATGTTGAAACAAACCTGATACCGATAGTTCCTTTGACAACGGACATTGGCATGTATTCATCTCCAATAGGAACATCTGCCCAATGGAAGTGAATTCTTCCACCAGCTCCACCACCACAATTGGCACTTCCATGCCCTCCAATGGTTGAGATGGTAGCATATTCATCAAGGATAAAATTATGGACAAACAGAAGAATAGATCCTCCAGATCCACCTCCTGGACCGACATCTGACACAATCCCAACTTCCTTCCCTCCAACATACGTACCGTAACTTTCTCCATCAGCTTTAATAATACCATACACAACCAACTTTGACAACGAGTGCTCCAGCGAACCCATCACTGTTTGCAGAAACAATTCAAACATTCACTAGCAAGCTCGTAGAATAAGTAACTACAATATTTAAAAGGCTTGAAAGAAATGGAATAAGAAAAAGGCAAGTGACTCAAGTTTCTTGAGCAAAGCACAGTAGGAATAGTACCTCAATGAAAATCATTAATCAATAGATTATGCATATTACAAACCTTTAAAAACAATAGGAGTATGAACGAACTAATTCCAGCTTTTCATTTTGCCTGTGATGAAATTACCAAGGGCGTGACTGGATATGAGATATAATGGATAAAATGACCGGTTGGGTTATTCCATATCCAATCATCTAACTCAAAATCCAACTTAACCCAAATAATTAAATAATACCAATCAATCATTCTCACCCATCACATCAACTTTAATTCACTATTCATCCACTCACAAATTTTTACCTATCACTTCCAATAAATCTCTCTCATGCTTTTACATTTTAAATATTATTTAATTTCAAACTCAAAATCATCCACTCAATCTACTTTATTCAAAATAACTCACTTAAACTCACTTTAACCAAACAAAACCGGTCAAAACTGTATAGATTCATATCCAATCCTGCCCCAAGTGCCGATCAGTTCTATACTGGTATCTTACCCGATATCTTATAATTTTTTTCTCTTAATGAAGGATGCTATAGGATTCAAGCAGAAATTAGTATGAAAAAAATAAGAGAGCATCAGTAAGCAATTAAGTCTGACTCACACCGGATACCTTCATATCAATATTTATCCATGCAAGAAATAATATTTACTTCAAACCCGTATGTCAAGCTTCCTCGCCTTGAAACATCGGTAAAGAACTTAAAAATATTTTAGAAGCATCAAACTGGTAACTCACCAATAACACCACCACCAGTAGTCGCACCAGGTTGACTCTCATTTCCACTTCCACTGCCAAGCTCACATGGCAGGTCTGAATCCCCATATGCAATACCACCCCTGACATAAGATCCTCCGTAATATGCATCCCCTCCTCTACCACCATGTCCAGCACCACTACTTAGACCACTAGGCAAAATTTCTCCGCGACCTACCCCACCAGTGCAGCCTGTACCCTTGCAAGTTAAAATTTTGAATCTGGACGTATGCTTATATCATTACTTCAAAAACATGAAGCAGCAGCTCATGAAGAAATACTGGAATGAATATGACCAAAAAGCAAACTGAATGTATTTAATAACAAGTTTGATGGAACAAAAATTACTGTAGGTCACTACAAATCTACCATTTTAACTGAGAATCACGTACCAAGCCCAGAGGCACTTATTGTACCAGAAGGTTTCACAACCACAGTTCTAACCAAATGAAAATGAACAACAGAACCTTCCATGAGACCTTCAACACTGATGTCCTCAACTCGACATATCTGCACAACAAAAGTATATTAACCCTCCAATATAGGAGCACATGACATACGCTACCATGAATACATTAACAACTTCTACCAAAGAAATTTCTCAAAGTGTTGAATCTAAGTATTGGAACACCTGGAGAGTGAATGGCAATGAAGTATTCACAAAGCAATTCTCAGGTGGATGAAGCAGCTCAACCGGACAGTCCTTCTGTTGACAGTAAAGTCTTGGTACCCTACCATAATGAGTAAGTAAAAATTTAAGAAGTACAAAGAGGAAATGCCTATCTACTGTATTGTTTTTGCTAAGAATTTACATGCTACTATCACTCGCATTTTCCAAGGGACCTCGGAGAATGGATCCAGGACCAACCTTCACAGGAAAAGCAGTCACGTTATAAACAGGAAAGCAATTATAGCCGAATATACTAAATGTAGCATTATCAAAAGTTCATCCAAAACAATCCATAATTTTCCTTGAGAATGACAAACATATTACTGTAAGTTAATTAGCTTACAGGCTGTTCTTTTAATTAGAAAACCAATAACTTCCCTAAGAAGGTACTGTCTAAGAGTTCTGAGAAGTCTTACGCTGATAGCATAAAATAAGGACAAAACCAAATGCTGTGCTTCAATAATATCTCCTGGCCCTGACAAGTTCAGCGACCCTTGTCCATGAATCCCTAAATTTGCAGTTGAATGTATTACGGACGATCCCTGGCAACAAATTAGTACAAAAATGACAAGTCTTGGTAATAACGACAAACCTTGTGAAGTAAAAGAGCAGATGTAGACCAACTTACCTTAAGAACTGCTAAATTACTGGCTTCAAGCAAAGAAGTTGCGACGATTGGATCACTATCACCAGTTATAAGAATTTTGGAATTCAGCATCAAGTGTATTTTTACGGACAGACGCAATGCCCCATAGACCTAAAAGGAATTCCAATGGATGTATCATGCCACTAAACTGAAAAAGAAATTACATTAAACAAGTAAAATAATATTTCCATCTCACCGAAAAATTCAAATAAAATGAATATTGAAGATTATCATCTTTGTTCACTAAATGATTTGATTTGCATGTCGGAAGTTATGTTTGTCTGACATTGCTAAGTTATTAATGCTTTTATTATGAATAAGTAGGTTAGGCACTTTCTTCCTTTGAGCTAGAGATGTGGAATATACAGAGGATGAGTTTTGGAGTCCCGAAGGTCGAGCTAAGGGTGTTCACCGGAAGTAATCGAAACGGACATTACTCTCGGGGTTGGGCTCAGAAGAGCTCTATTATTTTTTCCAGAAGCGGAAAGGAAACAAATGGAACTCCTTGCGGCCAGTGTGATATTTATTGGCCAGGGCTTAAATTCCAGCACTTGAGGCCCACTTAGGCCCTTTTATATTTTCTATTTATTTACATAACTATTTCCCATTTCATTTTAGAGTTGGGGTTTTATGTAGGGTAAGTTGATTAGTCTGATTTCGTAGAGAAACTAAACACCAAAAAGTAAATAGTTAAGATAGAAAACAAATTTCCAAGGGAGCCAATCTAAAGCAGTGCATTAAGATATTTGCATCAATTACCTCCTCCACCAAGAAAGGAGAAATAAATAAATGAGAGCATAAATAAGAGAAAAAATTAAGGGCATGAATCGGGACAAGAGGAATGCAAGATATATAAACTTGCACGTAAGAATTAACATTAAAATGAAAAACAATGAGAGTTTAAACTGCAATATAAATCTTGCCTTTATTATTGAGTCGCTCATTAGAAGTTCTTCAGCCATCAGTTCAAATTCCGACAAAGCATAATGTACTAGTCCGAAACTCAAAACTGCTCCAGCCGATAAACTAAGTTGTCCTCTAACCTACTCATGCAGTTAGAAAAAACAAAAGTTATATATGCAAGGGTGGCCACATTTAATATCTTCCTAAAACATTAGAAACTATGAAACACAAGTCGGAATATTGCAAATCAGTCAAGCAAAAACTTAGGGTATGATTGATTATGATTTCAACTAAAAAAAAAACAAAAACCAATCAAAACTCAAATTTAACTCAACTTTAACCCAACCCCACTATCCTCATTATTATCAATATAATTAAATAATATCAACTAATCATTCTTACACATCACATCAACTTTAATTTACTATTCATCCCCTCACATAATTTTAACTAACCATCACTTCCAATCATTTTCTCCTACTTTTAAATCAAATCAACTTTAATTATTTTATTTAAATATTATTTTAATATATTCACTAACAACTAACCATACCAATTTTTTTCAAAATAAACTATAGTTAAAAACAAACAAAATAAAAACTAGTTGAATCCATAAACAATCACCCCCTTAATGCCCATTAAAGATAAGAGCTTATGAAAAGTTTAAGGGATAGATTTTAAATCATCAAAGCGGGTACACACTACACAGATAACAAATAGTGGTTCACATAACCACAAAAGCAACAAGAAACATATTTTAGATAAAACTAGGAAATTGCACGTGCTACGCACGTGGTATTTTTTTTCAAATTATTTTTAGTATTAGGTTTATATTTAAAAGTATAATATAATTTTCTTTCATTTAGTTTAACAAAAAATGGTGTATTTTATTGAATAATGAAATATAGTATTTAATACTATTATCTGAACTCTATGATGAATAAAATTAAAAAAGAAAAACATTGGGTTGAAAACCAAAAATAAAATTAATATTTTTTTAGTGAAAATGTAAATGCTAACAAAAATTATAGTCTTTGATTTTGTTATTTAATGATATCTTCATTGTGCTTAAAATAATGATCACTATTATTGTCTTCATAATATAGCTTTCTAATGTCATCCTTTTACATCACTCTTTGAAAAAATAACTCAAATTTGCTATAACTATAATTTATAATGATTATTTTTTTATTTATTGTCGATTGGAAGCTAACAAACTATGTCTAAATAATTCGTTCTCAATTATTTTGATTATTGTGGTTGCAAGTGTAATTATATTTACCAGTATAATTTCATAATACTTAGATATATATAGTTATTCCCTAGTCATAATGATATAAGAGATACATAAATATTTGAAAATGTCTTTAATTCAAGTCGTAATTAACTAATTATTTCAAAAAGAAAATTTACTTGAAAAGCATAGGAATAATAACATTTTTATTGATTAAAGCTACCTATCTATCTATATATCTTTTCCATATCTTTTCCGACATAAATTATTGTTGCATCTCCTAACATTGTCATATATCCAATATCTTCATTCTCGAATTTTCAAGACTATCCTAAATGTGAATAATTACTAATTCCAGTTTAAATGAATTATGTAATGATGATTCCTTCATATTTTATTTTTACCTTAACATTATTTTATATCTTCGTCAACATTTCATCCCTACTTTTGCTTAAAATAATTATCATTGATATTGTCATCAAATATAGTTTTCTAATGTCATCCTTTTGCATCATACTCTTTGAAAAGTAATTCGAATTTGTTATAACTATAATTTATAATGATCATTTTTTTATTGTAGATTGGAAGCTAAAACATTATGTTTGAATAATTCGTTCTCAATTATTTTGATTACAGTGGTTGCAATTAGCCATATTTGCAAGTATAACATTTCATAATACTTAGATATATATAATTTTTCTCTAGTCATAATGACATATGAGACACATAAATCTTTGAAAATGTTTTTAAAGTCATAATTATTTAAAAAAAAAAAAATACATGAAAAAACTTAGGAATAATAACATATTTATTGATTAAAGATACTCATCTATCTACATATCTTGTCCAACATAAATTATTGTTGCATCTCCTAAAATTGTCATACATGCATTATCTTCATTCCCAGATTTTTAAGACTATCCTAAATGTGAAAATTTAATGAGTCTAGTTTTAATGAATGATTCATATTTAAAGTAAATTCACTATTTATTTTTATTTAATTAATTTTAATTGTAACTATTTTCTAATAAGTACACGTATTATAAAATTCGATATTTAAAATAGAATTTTAGTTATTTTATTTTATTTCTATAATTAATCTATTTTTGCTTATATTTAAATGCTATTTTAATTCATGTAACACATTATTACAAAAAACATTTATACTATACATACTATTAAGAGGTAAACATAAATCATATTATGCATATTGTTTTAGTGAATAATTTAAACAAATATTTATGTTAAGATTATATTTTTTTTTTACTTAACAAATAACTTTTTTACATAGAAAGTTGACATTTTGTATGTTGAATAATTAAATTTGATTCAATTATTCTTAAACATATGCATGTTCACTAAATTGTTCTTGTTTAATTTTTTTATACTATAACAAAAAATTTGTATGGTAAACAATATAATATTTAGAAATTAAAGATGATACTTTTAGTGATGCATTATATATTTCACACTTATGAAATATCATATATTTTATTTAAGAAATCTTAAAATAATTTTTTCTCTTACATTTTAAAACTGCAATTAAAATAACCAAATCGAAACCTAACATCATATGTAGATTAATTCAAAATAATATAATTAAGAATAAATTATTATTTAAAATATATTAAGTTGTGTAGGTAATGTTTTGTATGTGTAAGAACTTAAAGATACAATTAAGCATCAAAATAAATATAATAATTAAAAGTTGTAACTTCCTAACATGAATAAGAAAATTACATTAATAACCTTAACACTTATCTTTTTATGAGGATATTCTTGGCAATTCAAAAGTTTCAAAAAACAACTCATACTAAGGGAGTTATAGAGTTATAGATAGATAGATTGATTTCAAGATTTTAAGCAGAAATACATTTAGAATAATGCTACAAAAGGTCTTCAGCACAAGAAAAATCTATCAAACATATTCACCATCAACAACTAAAAGTCAACACTATCTTACATAATGTTTCAATATCATGTGACAATTCCAAAGAGTGGTTATGACTAGTGTAGTATGCAACGTATTAGAAGAAAAAGTTGGCGAGGTAACATCACCAGTATACTCCGAATCAGAAGTGATACAAAAAGTCACATAAGTCTAAAATATGATGATCGGGGTGATAAACTCAGATTTACACATTTTGCACGTCACATTGGGATTCGCCAAAATGTATCCTGACACTTACATGTATGATAGAAGTCACTCAAATTATTAAAATTTTATTCTATCGGTTATGTATAACAGGAACCACACTTGCACCAGAAAAGATTGAACACGGATGCATGTCCTAATTGGTCATTACAAGGTATGCACTTTTTCGATACTTCTGATTAATCTATGATCTTCATGCTTTCATCGCTTTAGGTAAAAGCATTGCTCTTTGCTTACCGTAATATACTAGAAGTACAAAACTCAAAACACTAAAGCCTGAGACTAGGGTTCAAAACACTAAAGCCTGAGACTAGGGTTGTGCCCAATCCAAAATCCTTCATTTTTTGGAAATATAGTCTCCCAGGTCCCACCATATATCATACAATCAAAATAAAAATAATGAACTATTTAGAACAGAATATCCAAGAAAAATCTGGTAGGAAGGTTGATAACTCAATAACCTGAACTCGACTCCATAATAAAGGAACAGCAGCTTGAGCACAATTTTGAATGTAAATGTTTGTCCAGAGTGGCTGGTTAGGAAATTGTAAAAGAAGTGTGGCAGTATCAGTTGACAAGTTGTTATTGTCAATGATAAGTCTTCGAGGAACAGAATCAAAGAATGTTCCAGCTGCACCTGCATTCATGGGACAGCCAAAGCTTCTTCCCCCTATCAAAATTTGGACAAAAATTTATCCATCAGAAAGGTAAATTCCTCAAGTAACCAAATCCAAATCTTGAAAATAGCATGCTAAAAGTTTCAAGATAAAAGACTGGTTGCTAAAGCACATTTGTCAAGGCTTTGCATGGAGAAAGAGCGTGACTACTACTGCCAATCGCTCACAGAAACCGATCAAATATTTAATAGTGTAATGCTCCAGATTCTGGCTAAAAACATCATAACTAGAAGTATAATAATCAAGTGTTGAAAGGGTCTTAAGCACCTGAGATGCCATGCCATTGAAAATCACAAATAAAGATTAGAGTAAAATCCATCATAAGAGGTTACAAGTATATACACACCTTAGACAATTGTAGAAAACATTATAGTTAATAAGAGATATAACAACATGGCAGAGCTGACACAAGAATATGGTTACGGAATACTGGGTACAAACTAATTCGAATTTTATTTAGGTCATAACCTTCTGTACATTCTTTATGTGGAGCACAAGACACCTACGGTATGTATCAATATTAGAACCCAGCTACCAGCTAAGATTCAGATTACACTACACTACAGCACCTATATTTTTCTTTAAATCCTACTTGTGAGTTCCCGTTTTAACCATAAGTAGTTAAAAATGCAAAGATCTCTTGACATTAATGTTTGAGTTATAAGTAATAAGAAACTAGTGCAAAATCGTAAGGGTTCTCACCATGCACAAAAAATATGGGATCATCATGCCTGCTAAACACGTCGATAGATACTCTTCCACCACCTCCACCAGCAAATCCATCACCTCCTGAGGCACATATTTTGCCGCTTCCTGTCCTGCTCTTCACACAATAATTATTTTACAATGTTTCGATAATGGACGACAAATGACAAGATTTAAAAAACCTTATTTGATAGGCTACTATAAGATATGAGCCCATAAGCACGATGACTTTGGTGTACAAAATTAATTCTTTAATTGGAATAGGATGCCAAATAGAGAACTGAATAGAATTTTAAAGGGATCAAAAGCCATCAAAGTGAGACACTTTTTAAAAAAGGGAAGCCACCCAATTTTCTGAAATTACATTTACCTTTTTACTTGTTTGTTTTACGCGATTGAGAAACTTCTCAATTCACAAAAATCCCCAGGAGTTTGCCCAAATATACTCTGATCCCACCCCAACATCTCTTCATTTTGCATCAGTATCGGTCCATTTCACACCAAGTCACCAACTTCTATCATTTCAAAATTAAGGTAATGTATAACTGTGTAGTGTGTACTGTGTACAGAACTCTCATTTTTAGATTTTTTACAACCAACATTATCTATGGATATCTTTACTTGAATTTCTTTGCCAAAATATAAAATATAAACTCAGAGCCACAACGGCAAAATCTATCTACATACACCGCTTAGTCTTGAATACCTCGACAAATATTACAGTAATGAAAGGGTGGAACAGAAAAATATAAAACTTAAATAATGTAAAATGTGACATGGTTAATAGAAAACATTAAGAATTATTACAACACAATAATTTAGCTAACACCAGACTTTGATCTAAGAAATCAGAACTAGCTATTTGACCAATAAGATACACCAAATGACCAAATTATAATTTCAGTTCCACGTCGCATCTAACACAATTAGTTTTTTATTGACTTAAGATAATAAACACACCTAATGATTGGCATTCAATGAGTAACTGAAGAGAAAGTCCTCTAGAACTATGAATTTATGTAATGTGAGCACTTAATATTTATGCAGCATAATCACCACACAAGCTTCTGTGTTTTTCTACATAAATCTGAAAATCTTCTACACTTATTGAGATGATCCACCCTATTACAACCAAAAAAAAAAAAAAAAAAATCTGCGCACAAGGATACTTGTTCATTTCTCCACTTTCAACAGTTTTTGTCCAACTACTTGCTATACCATCTCTCTTTTAACAGGTTCTAAAAACAAGTCCTGGATCTGGTGATCAGAAATACAATTACTGAAATTTATCAAAAATTCCTCGCGTTCCCATCACACATCAATATGAATTCTCACATCTAAACTAATTACTCTCAAATTACACATTTATATGATAGGCAGTCCATTTGTCATCTACAACAACTGGTCCAACTAGCCATGCGTGTTAATTTAACACAACTCAGCTAACCAATTGTTTTGTGAATTAGAATAGGGATTCCGGGAATGCTTACAAATGAAATATGGATGGTTACTGCTGAAGAAATAGAAACACAAGGAAATACTGCCCATTAAGAATAAATAGGTCCACTAGGAAAACCTATTCCAATTGAATCCTTGTTAACCATTGTTATGGACTATCATCTACAAGTTTTAGGTCATACAAAGTGAAGGATCATTCACTTAGTCCATAGCCTAACCATTAGAAGAGCTAATAAATTTGATTACAAAGTACTGCTAAGACATGTCCTCCCCTAAAATCTCTTAAATTAGCAGCTAAAATTATAGTATATACACTACACTAAGCAACAATCAATTTCCAAAAAATAAAACTGCACGAATAGAAAGGAGCTTGAAGTGAAACGTTAAATACTTTACATTTTTTGTGACTTGATGTAAACACTGCCGCCAGACCCTCCCCCACCTTTGATTCCACCATCACCACCGTCCGCAAGAAGCAGCCCGCCAACATCTGCAGTATCCTTAACCTCCAACCAGATTCTCCCACCCCCTCTCCCTCCATAATCCTCCTCTCTATTAGTTGTCCCTCCTTTACTACCATAGCTCCATGGCTTGTCCAGATTTTCCCAGGAATACGCGTCCCCACCCCAAACATCCTCTGGAAGCTTCATATTGTCCATCAAGCAGCTGGCCCCCCTGCCACCGTGTCCCCCACCGCCGCCCTGAACATCGTCCGGTGTTCCCTTCGTCTCCGGCGGGTCGCCAGCCCGCGCGGTCACATTAATCACCGAGTTCCCAAACAGGGTTGCGTTTCCGGCAGCTATGCAGACGGAGCTGGCCACAATCTCCGCGAAGGGGTTCAGCCTGAATTCGCCGGTCACGTTCATATCAACCGAGCAGCCAAATTCCGGGCAGGTGAGGGACACCCCATGGAGGACGAACAGGTTGCCCCGACCCTTGACACGGACGTCTCCGGTGAAATTCAAGCTGTAGCTGAGCTCGCAGGTAGTGTCGAGCGACCCGATGCCCTTCAGGTCCTCGCAGGCGAGGGGAAGCGGTTCCGGCGGCGTGGGAGGAAGGGAGGGGGCCGGCGACGAGTAGCTCGATCGGAGAAGCTCCGGCGCCAGGCGGCCCGGCCCCAAAATGGAGAAGTCCTCGAGGGACCCGAGATTCGGACTGGCTAGGAGGAGGAGAAGGAAAGAGGAGGGGAGGATAAGGGGGGGTGGGGCGGCCATGGAAGATGATTCATCAGAGGATTCAGAGAAATTTGGGGGAAAGTAGGAAGAAGGGGTGCGTGAGTTGAACGCGTGGGGATATGCAGCATGTATGCGCGCATGAGGGAAAACAGGTGGAGACTGTTGAGAACGCGAGGAGTTCGGAAATTTCCTCCGGCTTTCATTTTCATCCAAGCGTGGTATTTGTCTGTCGCCATTTTTACTTTTTCAATTTTTTTATTTTTCCGAGCTCGAAAAAATGTTTGTTTTTGTACCATCTCTCCCATTGTCAAACCGGCAAAATTGTTAAGGTCCGACACCAAAGTAATTAGGCCAAATGAAATCTAAGAAGTTTCATTTGTTAGCCCAAATGAAATAAGTAAGAGAAGTAGTCACTAAACTTATAAACTAGACACATTTACCCTATCAAATCAATGTGGAACAACTCACAAGTGATATTCCAACACTCATTTTAAGTTATTTTAGTACACAGCGTGACAACTAACTCTAAAAATTAAAATTATTTAGGGGGTGACTGTTTATGGATTAATCTAGTTTTTATTTGATTTGTTTTTTAACTAAAGACTATGGTTATTTTTCAAAAAATGTATGGTTAGTTGTTAATGGATATATTAAAATAATATTTGAATAAAATAATGAAAATTGATTTGATATAAAGTATGAGAAAAATGATTGAAAGTGAACATTAAAATTATGTGAGTGGATAAAAAATGAATTAAAGTTGATGTGATGTGTATAAATGATTCGTTAGTTAAATTCATAACAATCACCCCTTACTCCTCTTTCCAATTTTCATTTACTTGGGCAGATTAAAATTAATTTTGACTGATTGAATAATTATTTTATACTATATAACTTCAAATTCTAATTTTTTATACTATACAACTTCAAATTCAACTCAAATTTAATTCAGCTAAACTATCTTCAATATTATCAATATAATTAAATAATTTTCATCAATCATCTTCACACATCATACCAACTCTAGTTCACTAGTAGTACAATGCTCGTATTACACGGATGTTTGTTAAGAAAATTATATTTAAAATTAAAAATAATAAAAAATGTTTTAATTTTGAAATACTTTGAATAACTATTTTACTATTTATTTTTAAAATAACACTAATCACTTATAAGGCTTAACATCTTATATAATAAAATATTTCTAAAAATATAACGTTTAACAACTTTGTAGTTAAATTGAATTAAATAATCTTGTTTTTTAATTAATATTTTCATTTTTTATTATAAAGATAAATATAATTATTTACTATTTATTTTGTATGTAGAATATAGGTGTCAAATCAAAGTTTCTCAAGACATGATTAATTTGATATATTATGTACAAATTGATAATAACTAAAAAATTTAACTTAGTAAGTTTTTCATAATTTTAAAATAAAGATGAGGTAAAATGGAAGTTTGAGGAAAAACATTTATGTCTTATAAAACACATTTAGAATAGAAAAAAGCGACATAATTAATGCTCTAAAAATAACCATAAACATCTAGTATATTTGTTGTTATTTCAAACCTAATTATTTTTGGATTGAGAGTAAATTAAAATTCATTTAAGTCATGTCAGAAAGCATATGATCCTGATGCATGCAAGTCTACCATTCAGCACATTCGAAAATTATATATACTCGCATATTTTTCACTATCTATCATGTCCAACAATTGTTCTCCTACTTTACATCACGTCAGTGTTAATCAGTACATTGTAAATCTTTATATATCCAAAAATATTGTTGGAATAATCTAATAAAATAGTAAGTTTGACTTTGTAATTAAATTATTTGACGTACTATTAAAAGAAATATTGTAAAATATACTTTAATATTTTTGAAAAAAAAAAAATCAAATAATACCAACTTGTTGTAAATCGTGCAATTCAATTAATAGCATGACTTTCTATTTAAATAAAGTGGTATAGAATTTGAAATTTATCTATATATATATAATTGCTGGTATGTAGAATTTAATAAAACATTTAATAAAACCTCTAAAATTTTCCCTCCATTTTCGGTTACAAATTTTGTCATTAATATTTTTTGCTTCTCACATTAATATATCTTAATGAGTGTAATCATGTATGTTTCTATTATATTATATAAAAGTTATTACTAATACCAACTAATAATAATTCACAATAAATATAAATTACATAATTATAAACAATTGTTTCAAGTTATGTATATTAACATCAATATTATCTTTTTCTTTTGTATCTCATAAAGACATTTCTTTAAACAACTTTAAAATCTTATAAATAATTTTTTTTTTTTAATATATATATATATATATATATATATATATATTATATATAATTTCTAGCTTAACATTTAATTTTACCTATTTAATAAAACCTCTAAAATTTTCCCTCTATTTTCAGTTACAAAATTTATCATTAATATTTTTTTACTTCTCACATTAACACATCCTATTAAG